ATTTTCTTTCCAACTTTGTTAAGGAAGTAAATTTATGGGCTTTTCCTTTTCTTCTTTGTCTCTTTGTTAAACCTCCCTTCTGAGTTTGGGTCAAGGACTTCTGTCCTTATTTTCTGCTCTGGTAACCAAATTCCAAGTCCCTCCAAATCTAAAGATGTCCAATATTGAGTTTTAGAGTGTTTACTCTGTTGCTCATCATTCTTATGAGTTGGTCTTTCGCTACATGTTTTTCTGGGCTATGGCTGATCAAGAGTTGCTGCCTAGATTTGCTCTGCCTTCTTCTCTCTAGATTATGCATTTTTAAAAAATATATACTTTTTTAGTTGTCAATGAACCTTTTTTTTTTTTGTAATTTACTTATATGTGGTGCTGAGGATTGAACCCAGTGCCTCACAAATTCCAGGCAAGTGTGCTACTGGTGAGCCACAGCCTCAGCCCTAGATTATGCATTTTTGAGGATAGGAATCATTGTACCCTTAACTTCAAGAACATTTTTTTATAACAAACTCAGTAATTAATTGACTAACTATAAGAAATAATTTTTGAGTTGACATAGAACTTTATAATGTTCTAGTCCAATTTCTTGACTTACTGCTGCGAAACTCAGATTCCATATGGCAACCCAAAAGTACAGATGTAGTGAGTAGCATATTTGGAAAAAGAACCTAGAATTGGTTCCAGACTATATCAATATGCCCAGGATACTCTAGTTCAAAAGAAGAGGACACTTGTTGGATTAAAATTATAACTGCACTTTCAATAATTAATAAACTTGGCAAAACACTGAAAGTTTTGTCTTGGTTTCTCTGTCCATAAAATGGTCATAGTAAAAAATCTACCTCTCCTTTTCTTAAAAGACTGATTTATAAATCTAAGGTAAATATAACAATATAATCATGGCAAATAAGGAAATGTTAGTCAACTTGAGGTCATAGAGTTTGAAAAGATGTGACTTACTTTCAAGTTGATGTAATTTAGAAATCTAGATTTTGCTCCAATTGTCCTACATTACCAGTTATGTTTCTCTAAAAGAAAAAAAAAGGAATACAAGATTTTTAACTTACAAGTTAAAATAATTCTTTAATTTTATTCAATTATATGAACTTGTGTTCAGCAAAATGTAACACTTCTACAAAATAATTTGGCTATCTTTTTTCAGTTATACCCCATACCCCATGTAACACAGATATATAAACAAAATATAAGATTGAGATGCAAGTTTTCAGAAAAATATATACATAATTCAGTGTGTACATATCCCCTGAACACCTTCAAAATATTTGAAAGTCACTTTCTCTGAAATTAGGTTGAATTTCTTATTGGAAAATTACTGTCTCAAACACACAAATATCTCTTGAAAATATGAATATATGTATAGATTTTACAAAGCCTCCCATTTACCTCTTTTTTGGCCTTCACTACTTTTGTTAAATTTTAAAAAGTCTAATATAAGTACCTATTTATATGCTCATGTTTTAGTTTCCTTAACTAAAGTGAAGTCTGTCTCTGACTTCACACCCACTGTTACATCCAGCTACAATGTCCTCCTCATTCTCTTCCTCTTATCTCCTGCATTTAGCAAACTTCCTTCTCCTTCAAACTCCGCTCATCTCCTTTTCTGAGATGTTCCTGTCTGAGATGCTGGCCCTTTTCTTTAAGTCATTGTCACCATGCTCAATGTTCTGTGCCACCATGGAATTCCTCACACCATCTTCACTGACCTGGCTTTCTTCCTCAGTCCGAATCCTGAACTCCCTGAGAGCAGGGTGATCTCGAATCTCCGTGCTTCCCATACTGGTCATGCATGGCTGCTATTTGATTAATTTTCATAAAAATATTCATTTTGGGGTCCACTTTTAATCATGATTTTCATGGAAAAATTCCACAATTCTAATAAAGTGGTAATTCAAATGAGGATAAATGAAACCATTGTCTGAAGCTGTGACATAGTTCTGCTGATTTTCTCCACAGGTATCACCCCCCACAACCATGTGTTTGATATACTGGTATTCATTATCTTGTACCATAACCTTGTTCCCATCAGTCTGCTGTTAACTCTGGAAACTGTGAAATTCATTCAGGCCCAGTTTATAAACTGGGTGAGTATTAAAATCAGAAATTTAAACAAAAATTCTCTCTTGAGCCATGGCTTTTATTTGATATCAAAGAACTAATAATGTCATTGAGTCCTTGTGACAGGGCTAGTATAGCCACTGGGCCAGGGACGCTTTCAACAGAAAGACAAGCACTGGTGTCAACCTGGCTCAGTAATGATGGGACCCTTGTGTTAATCTTGAGGACATCATTTTTTCATACCTTTTTTTTTTTCTAACTGTTGAAATAGGTTTAAGAGATAGTGGCTTGGTAGTGAGTATGGAAAGATAGTTAATCTAATAAAATTCAAAATACTCAACAGTGAAGGAGGCTTACAGGTCATAGCCAGAATGATAGATTCTTGGCAATCATTCCAGAATCACTTCAAATTAATTAAAAGTTTTTTAGGTTGTCAGTCATGTATTGACACTAATATTTAATGAATTGTGGACTAAACTAATTTAACAGTTTGAATGGGGCTATAATTTTTAATTATTATCTTTGAGTATTTGTCTTTGAAATAAAATTATTTCTAAATGTTGCATATTTAAAAAATCTTCTTACTGTGCCATTGGATGGCCATAATTTGAAGAACATTTTTTTGTTGTTGTTGATGTTATCTTTTGGTGGTGCTGGCATCAAACCCAGGATCTCATCGTGCTAGGTAAGGTTTCCACTACTGAGCTACACACCTCCAGCCAGAGAGTAATATTTTAACAGCCAAGAAGTGAGACAAAGTGCTTTCAAGTGTATTCTCATTTAATTTTGTAGAGTGCTGTGAGATGAGACACAGAGATGCTAACTAACTTAGGCAAGTTCACAGGTTGGCTGAGGCAGAGCAAAGAATTTGAAAGCCAAGTCTTTTGATCCCTGTTCACCAATACAGGTGCCTCTGCTTCTCCTAAATTGATTCTCCTGTTGTATGAGAGAAGTTAACCTATTGGGTTAATCTAAGTATTCTACACTGTCCATTGTGGGTTATTTTTAAATGTTGATCACATAGAAATACCAATGCCAGGGTCAGCCTTCTACAAGAGATTTTGAGCCTCATTCTAATTATGGTTTGGACTGTATTTTTCATTTGTTGCAGGATGAAGATATGCATTATGAACAAAATGATCTTTATGCCATGGCCAGAACATCCAACCTCAATGAAGAGCTTGGGCAGGTGAGAGACTTTTCAGGGAATGAGCAATGTGATAGGAGCTTCATAGAAGACTCTAGGGAGAGCTTTTGCAAATCTCAATGCCACCGTGAGAACAGGGTACAGTTCAAATTGACATGTGGAGTGGGAATAGGAGTAGGCATGTTTCGTTCAAAATATTGATAATTCTGCATCATGTTTAAATATACTGCATCATGTTGAAGGAGAACAAACTCAGTACAGGTTATTATGTGTTTATGAAAGAGTGAAAAGCTAGAAGGGAAGAAAGGGAAGGCTGATGTTAGCTCTCAGGTGGGCTAACAGTAGTTAGCTTTCAAAGTTAGGAACTGGCTGAGGAGAGCTCTTGCCTTCTTCTTCCCCTCCCTTCATGAGGCTGATGACCCACAAAAAGCAGCCAAAAGCTGCTATAAAATTTTAGAGATTGCTACAAAATTCTTCACTTCCACACCCATACATCGGTTCACGGCTTCCTTGTCTATATGTATCTGTAAATTAAAAAATAATCTCACATTGTTGTAGCTAAAAGAAATAAGACTTATAATTCTGATTTTTCTAAATATCTTTTTTTTCTTAATATGTTTTTACTAGATTGAAATTTCCCATATTTCAATTAATTGGGGATGTTAAGCTTCAAGGGTGTGAATTCTGGCTCTACCATCTATCTATCAAATTACCAGCTGAGTAATTTGGGCTCCTTGTGTGACTTTCCTGGCCTTGATTCCTAATATGTAAAATGGGTAATAAGAGCATCTTTGTCACAAGATTGCAATAACTGAATAGGATAATGTGCATATAAGGCACTCGGCATAGTCCCTGGAGTGTGGTAGGAACTTAATTAATGCTAGTCATATTAAACAGTACTTGGTAAATATAATTTTTAATTCATAATCACATTGTGTGGTATCATTTGAATAATGGGTTGTCAGTAAATATTTATTTAAAAAGCATTTTGGCTTTTGGAAATGCCTGTTCAGAGAACTACACCAATAT